ATATACTGATAAACATTAAACTTTCATATATTTTAGATTCATTGCACACAAACTGTAGTTCGAGCCTTATATTGTTTTAATATTGATGATTTTGGCAAAAAAGTAAAGAAAAAAAACCCAAAAATCTCTATCTCAAAAAATTAGCATATCATGAAAAGGTTCTCTAAATCAGAGGTTCTCAAACATGGGTCCTTGGACCCCCAGGGGTCCGCGAGAGGTATCTTTGGGGTCCTCAAAAGATTTCACTAAATAGTTTAGTTTTAATTTTTAAAAATGCATGGAGAACAATGAATTAATAAAAAACATAATAAACTTAATGAAAATATATATTTCCATGGCGTTTAGGGGTTGAAATGACAATAAAAGATCTTTTAAAACAGCATGGGGTTTATGTAGGGGTCCCTGGAATTTTTTCGCCCTTGTAAGGGGTCCCTAGACCCAAATGGCTTCAGAACCCCTTGCATAAAGTACCTCAAAGTGATACTTGAGTAAAAGTACAAGTATATCATCATAAAATTACTTTGGTAAAAGTTAAAATGTCCTCTAAGAATATTACTTGAGTAAAAGTCTTAAAGTATCAGATTTTTTTTGTACTTAATGTAAAAACTAAATTTCTGACATGAAATATACTTATAAAAGTAAAAGCATTGAGTAAAATGAGTGGTTAGATTTTCTAAAATACATTTATTGGGAGGTGTTCTCTTCAAAAAATATTTTTTTCTGAAACATGCAGCTGTGATGGGTTAAATATAAGCAGTGTTCATTACCCGTTACCTGTTCTGATCTGATACCAGATAATAATAATGACATGTGAAWGTTTGAGTGAGCCATGCAAAGCTATTTGGACACAGCTGTGGACTGTTTAACTTTTAATGTGCCTTCAACTGGCACCAGCCAAACAGTGCCCAGAAACCCGGAAACACGCACCAAGTAACAGCCKTCTTCACATCCTGACTCCACCTCATGACATATATTAAAGGCTGTCTGTCATGCATCGCTCCTCACCCTAATGGTTCATCACAGTTCTTATTTATATGTTGTTTTTAAGTCAGACATGTATCTAACTAACAGCCTCCTGAGTCTGTCAGACCCTGCTCAAGAGCCCCACACAACCCAGTCTGCACATAAAATCATCAATTAAGTCAGAGATAACCACATTATATAACTGTTCACCTAA